GAGAAGAAAATAATAAAGAAGAATAGTTACATTATCGACACGACGTAGTTGTGGACTACTACTTAGTTCGTACGGCGCCCGTTGGCGCTACGAGGAACCCCCCCGCTTGCCCTCCGATCCCCGCGCCTACTCCGCGAATTTTTGACGCCGTGTGTCCGTGTGGTTGGCCAACCATTGGCCGAAGCGCCGAGCGCACACTTGATGCTGAATGCTTACTAAGTCCACGAACTGGCATCTCTGGGTCACCGTCGTCGCTGCCGATCACTATCGTTTACCCGGCAGCGGGTTGCAAAGAGGGCGAGGGAGGGAGACGGAGAAAGAAAGAGTGTGTGTGTGTGTGTGTATGTATGTGTGTAAGGACATACGGATGGAAGAAAAGAAAGAAAACTAGTTGTACGCAGGTAGACGCATGGTGAGTGATCAGTGAGGTTTATTAGTGAAAAGGACATTCTTTAAATCGAATGCTCCGAATTCCAGTCATAAGTTCCAGTCGTCGGTTCTTTCCCTGTACTACGCGGAATGAGATAATGTGCTAAAATAGAAAGAAAAATAATAGAGTATACTAATAATAGAGTATATTAATTCGCGTCAATCAACCAAATCGAAACTCTCCACAGTGAGTTGGGTCTTTCGAGTCGATTCCACCGAATTTCACGCAGGATCGTATCAACGTTCTCGAGCTGACGTATCCTCCCTTTTACTTCTTTCCCCCTCTTTCATTGCCAACTCCAGTGTGATACTCTATACTCGACGACCGCTACGCCGTGGCCATTCAGCAGTTTAGTTTACGGTAGACGTGGGTAGACGTGTGTAGCGAGCGGCCGAAGAGGGGTGTGATATGTTTAAAACGCGCGCTCGTATACGTATCCTTCCTCATCAGCAGCAACGACATTGGCAATCGTGAAAGAATCGCGGCGGCGATCCTATCGGCGGGACGGCGGGTGAGAGTGGAGGGCGACGGCTGGCGACGACGGCGGCGGCGGTGGTGGTGGTGGCGGCGGCACAGGGGGGGGAGTTCTTCCGCCCCCTTCGCGAGCCAGACGCCGGTAATGAGTGTTTACACCGCGAGCACGCCGATACCGAGCACCGCGATATCGCCCACGGGAAGCACGACGGTGACAGCGGTTTCGACGGCAACGACAACGACAACCATTACGGCGACTGCGTCAACGACGACGACGGCGGCGGCGTCGGCAGCGGCACCGGCTACGACGACAACGGCCACGTCGTCTACGGCGACCGCCGTGTCGCCCGACACAGCGGCTGGCTGGGTCGAGTTCTGTGAGAGACACGCCCGCGCCTCGGCGTCCGACTTCGCCAAGGCGTTTTGCACGTACGTCAGTCTGAATCTGCCCGAGTGCGCCCGCGCCAATTTCTCGCATCGTGACTTCCTACGAAAGTTCGTCGAAAGCTTCTGCGAGCACTTCGAGAGCGAATACTTGCGTCAAAGCGTGAGGTGCGTTTGGCCAAAGTTGTATGAACTTTTACCTTGTTTTTTTGTTGTGTTATCTTTGTTATTGTTGTGTAGTAGAGATCATTAACCTTTTATGTACGGAAAAGATATTGAAATAATTTGTTTGATCTGTACCACGTATATGCTTGACATTGTCAAATAACTTATGCTAGAAAAAATTTGACTTTGTGTACAGTTTTTAACATTAAAAATTCGAATTGTCGAAAAATCTGTACGATCTATGTAATTAACAAATTAATTAAAAAAATACTAATATTCTATTTTTAAATATATATTTTCTTATGCGTTTGCTTTTAGATCGATATCGCTGCATGATACTAGAAGTGCAACAGTTAATGAAAGAGATACAAATCTTACAAACCAGAATGCTATCAATGCACCAGTGCGTGCATCGTCACATGAAGAATTCAGTGACTATTCTGAACATGAAGGGGATGCAGTATCGCCAAAACCTGCCCATAAACCTTTCTTCCGCAGATTGTCCTTTAAAGGTCTCAAAAAGGGCAAGGGTTTCTTCCATAAGCAGCAGAGCGACGAGGTCGAACTTTCCCATAGTGAACATAGCAACCGCAAGGAAAAACACTCCAAGGCCAAGTTGTCGAAAATTGTGGTAGAATGCAGAAAAGAGGGAATTGTCAATTCCCTGATGGGAGAGAATATAGACGGGACGCAAAAATGGGAAAAGTCGCGACTCGCTTTAATAAAAGCTATTGGCGGATACATGCTGGAGTTTTATTCTCCACCAAAAGCAGTAAAGCCGCGGAGCGGTGTTTTCTGCTCGGCATTAACGGAGGCGCGGGAAACCACCGCGCTCGAGATGCCGGATCACGAGAACACGTTTGTTTTGAAGACGCAAAGCATGGAATTTGTCATAGAAGCGCACGATTCGAACGACATGAAATCGTGGCTGGCGACGATCAGATATTGTATGCGAACGGTACAGCAAAGCTCAAGCGTTTCCGGCTCCGGTCCGGGTGACTCTCTGGGAGATTCTCTGGTCCACGGTTCGCTGACTGTCGGATCCGATAGCGATCGATTGCGCGCCAATTCAGCGAGCAAGACTTTCCGATCCGTTAGTCACGAACATGGAGACGACGTGCAGGGCAATCCGCCCGAATTACCTCCGAGACTTCGTATGCGCAGCAGTAGTAATCTAGAATTATGTTCCTCTCAGCAAGAAATAGAACAAAGTGAGAATAAAACCTGTTTGAATTATACAAATTAATGTTATGTAGAATAAGTTAGTCACGATAAATTTATGTATTCACTTGCTTACAGTGCCAGCTAATGAAGGCGAGCTAGATTTATCGAGTAGTTTACGTGAATACCCATGGTTTCATGGCACCCTCCCTCGCTCAGACGCCGCGCAGCTTGTGTTACATAGTGCAGCTGATGGTCATGGTGTGTTCCTGGTTCGACAGAGCGAAACTAGGAAAGGCGAATTTGTGTTAACATTTAATTTTCAAGGAAGAGCAAAAGTAAATACAGACATTGTTTCCAACTTTCAATCAAATGTGAATAAATAACAGTAAAATTATTTTTATTAATTTTATATATGTCCTTTTGTTGCAGCATTTACGGATGACGCTGAATGATCAAGGTCATTGTCGAGTCCAACATCTATGCTTTCCTGCGATATTTGATATGCTTGAACATTTTCGCCAGAACGCGATACCCCTCGAGTCTGGCGGTACAGCGGATGTTACTTTAACGGAATTCGTAGTGGCGTCGAACCACGCGTCGCGAACAGGACATCATAACATGGCGAGTGGCGCGCACGTGCAGCAACAGCCACAAGAGAGGAGACCTCCGGCAGCCCAGCCTCTGGAGCCCAGAGAAGTAAGAGTCTGCAGTGGAAGTCTAACTCCTCTTGTGTGATCGCGAGTGGCCAACACCCACAGTCTGAAGTCTAATCTACAGACAGTGAGTAGCTAAAGCGTCCGTATTTATCGTACGATCGATGATGCAGGACAAGAAATTTGCTGTAAATTTGATGGAAATTTTGTACAGATTGATATACAAAATTATGAATGCGACTTAATTATGTATTCTTCTCACTAATTATCTAATATTTGTTATATGTGTAATGTGTAATATGTTCAAAAAATTACGAAAAAAAAACCATAATTATATTGTGTTACAAAATTCCTTATGTTTATATTTTTTCTAATTTCCTCATATTTGAGATATATTAGGTTGTAATACAGTAATATTTTTATTTATTTATTATTTTAAACAATAATTGTCTTGGATGTTAAATTTGTATATCATTCATTTAAATAAGTAAATTTCTCTTTATGTAATAAAATTCTTTCAAAGATTTGGTATATGTGTTTGAAACATATATTCCAAAAAAAACATGACCGTGGGATAAGGAGCTCGCTTCTGCGTGAAACTTTTTTTTTCAATTTGTTTTGCTAGATGTTGCAAGAAATTCATTTGTTTGAAGTTTACAAATATTAAGCAATATGGAAACGTCCAGAAATTTATTATTTAAATTAAATATTGATTTTTTTTTCATTTCCTGTATATCTTTTAGAACGAGATTTTTATATATATTTGATATAGAATACAAAACTCTTAATTTATCAAATCAATTATGTTATATATGATATTAAAACTATATATATCTAATATTAAAATTGTGTGGACGTGTCTTGTTTGCTTACGTATTTTGTGCAGGCTGTTAGACAATTCTTGTCGATAGTTTTTAAGATATAAATTGTCTTGACACTGTCGACAAATTTTGTTTGATATCTTGCGCGTACATTTTATTTCAGTTAAAAAATCATAAATTCAGTTAAATTCATTTTAGAGAAATTCCTAACATAAAAAAACTGTATAATAAAATTAAGAATTTATACATGTATATATACATATATATATATATATGAAGAAGAACTTATGAAATATTAATAAAATAGGTACGCACGTATGGCGGTTCTATACGAACGCGTGTGGAATCGTTGGAGAGACTAGAACAAAGAATTATTGCTGAGCAAATGGCCTTGGCTGCAATGGGCAGAGCGGTACAGAACACTTACAGTTTTCTCTAATGCTGGACGCACGTTAATCCACCATCCAAGCCACGATCCAGTTAATTCGACGGACCGCGAACTTGAATTGATACGATAGAAAAGTAATCGTAGAAGTTTTTTATTTTCCATAATTGCGTCATGCTGTTAACCATTTGTGTTTTAAACAAAGCGCATCACTTTACCTAGTACAAAAAGAAATTGCATTTCTTTGAAGCAACTAATCTTCCAATCAACTTTTACTCCTGCGTTCTATATTTCGATGTTTATATATTTATGATTTATGAGGAAACATGTTTTGCAAAAACATTGCATTTACATCGAATAATAAGAAATAGAAATAGATTCTTGAACAAACCGAGTCTCAGTTAGCAATAATTTTGTAATAATTGTGCACAAATTATATATATATATATATATCTCCCCAAATTATAATCCCGTTCCCATAATGTATTTTCCACGGACCTCCCTTTTGCACGTTGATATTTATCTACGATTTGTCGGAAATTATATATACATAATAACGGCCTCCTCCTGTATTTTTACTAAAGAAATAGATATATTTTAAGAGGACCTAAAACAAACCTCGCTTAACTAATTTATAATGTGTGTATATATATGTATATATAATATAATTAGATAAGATACATGCATGCCACATGTACGCAATTGTGGGGGAAAACAACAATAATATCCTCCGAACTGCCATATACGCAATGTCCCCGTTGTTCCTCGGAAAACTCGACAAGTACGCCAAAGTTAAGATAGCAAGCCCCGCTTCGTCAATTACAAATCTGTTGTACACAAAATTGCATTTCAGCCATTGTTGCTAGTCTCGATGCTTTGTCGAGTATAATAGATCGCATCTTAATCATCGATAAGCGTAAAATCACGCTGCGATACGTATCAGATATATTGCAGTGCTCGTCAATGTATAAATTTTCCTTATTTGTTCGAACAAATAAACAAAAAAGAAAAAAAACAAAACAAATGCAGAAAGTGAGATAACGTGAGAGAAGGATATAACCGTATTATGATTCTGCATAAATCGAAGTAAGTATGATTTCATGTATGATCCCTGAAAGAAAAATATATGGAATGCTGTATTCGATATAAGCGCATCGAAAGATATATTAAACTGCGTGTAATGACTAAGAATTATTGCTGGTATTGTATTGAGAGCAACTTGAGTGTATGTGCAAAATTATATTATAGATAAATGTATGAATGATCGGTACGTGTATGATAGAGAGAGAGAGAGAGAGAAAGAAAGAGCAATGATCGACAAAGTATCCGATTTGTAGAATGAGCAGATATTCTCAGTATGAGCCGAACTTATTACTGTGATAAAATCTTTCATTTGCACAGACATCCAATAATCCCATTTCCGTCCGTGTCAGTTTATGTTCTTGAAACCCGTAAAAAAATCCATATGAAAACAAATGTTTGTTATTGGCAATGGTATAAATAAAAGTTTTGTGTCGCGACACTGAAACAGAAAGAATCATAGAAGTTTTCAAAATGTCGATCTGGAAAAACTGTGTGTCACGAATTCATGTTTCGGTTACAACACAATCGCAAAATACTGTTAAGTAGAATGTATAGCTTGGCCTTTTTCTGTACTCGCAGTTACAATAAGAGGCAGAAGTTTTTGAATATACAGAGACAATAGCCATTCAACCGTAATAGTTTTTTACCTCTTATGTTAAGATGCAAGATGAAAATAAATACTGGATTTCCTCCTGGCAATTCTCATGGTTGTCTATACACATATATATATATGTATATATACATATGTGTATACATATATGTTGCTTTTAATTATTTATAACACACATAGCGTGTTTATTAGTCTGAAAAGAATTTATCAAAAAGGTGTGATATTTTCTTACAAAAAATGTTTTTCCGCTATAATAATCATAATTATTCTACTCCTTCTATTCTGTGTATATATGTTTAACAAAAAGAAATTTTCTTCAACAGTTTTTCTAGATACTACAGTTTTTCAAAAAAAAAACGTCAATTTTATATAAAGTCGATATAATGAATATCATGTTTCATGCTTGTGTACTAAATGTACTTATATAAAAGTTTATATTTTTTGTTAGAAACAAAAACAATTATTTTCATCAAACATAAAATTTATCTGTTGTTTCAAAGAACATTGATTATTTAAGGAAAACTTAACACATATAAGATAAATTTAAGATATATTATCTTTTATTACTTCAAGAGATAAGATTTTCATACATATAGTATATCTCATATTCTTTCATCACTGTACATTACTGTTGAAGACACTTGTCACGTATAGATCTGCACAAGTATTGTCGTTATTATGGCAGCTAAGGTAACAATAAAATAAATTCTTACGTTAGAAATGCATGAAAATGAAATATTTTAACTATATGTGATATATTTTACCAAACAGGTGCACGAATTTGGTGTCGAAATGACTTGCGAAGGGTGTTCGAATGCGGTGCAGAATGTGCTAAAGAAAAAAGGTGTGTATAATGTATAAAACCGTTTGTGATCTCGAGAAAAATTTATCTCGAAACAATTTATATATGTTCGTAAGTATATCTTGGTTGTATTTCTTCAAAAATATCTCTAACTCATAAAACTTGTCGTATGTATAAAGTGAGGTTACAAACGAAGCTGTCTTGTAGTACAAAAGTATTATTTTAATTCTAAATTTATTATGTATCGTATATAGGTATTAATGAATTCAAGATAAACCTTCAAGAACAAAAAGTAACTGTGACCACCACACTTGATTCAGATGAAATATTGGAGATACTTAAAAAAACAGGGAAAAAGTGCCAATACTTGGGAACACAAAACTAAAAACTTGTGGAATATTATGACTGAATTGGGTGCTGTTAATATATATATAAAAGCTATTTTTTGTTTTATATAGTTTCTGTAAAAAAACTCATACTTTATTTATGTTTGTATACAAAGTACAAAACTACTTAAAATCTTTTCCACAATAAAAAAATTTAAGTATCTTTTGTAATACAGACTGTAGTTTTTTGTAATTTGTAATATCACACATTGTCACACTTATATCAAAGAGTATTATTTATATAAAATGTCTTGAAAGGAATATTCTCACATTAAACTCTACATCAACAAACTGTAATGTTATTAAGTTATCATATATAAAATCCACACTTTTTGAAAAATATAAATATTACTCTGTTGCATGCACACACACACACATACACGTACATATTCACACATGTTAAATAATTACTGATTATAAATTAATAATAAAACATTACAATTTATTTTTTAATCGCTGCTTCTAATACTGTCAAACGGTGCTCTAAGATGTTCACAGTATGATTTAATGATTGTACTTGATCACGAAGTGTTTTCACTTCAGACTGACTAGAATGTGCTGAGAATGTTTTATCTTCCTGATCATGTAGCACATTTGCTACACGATCTCTTTTACGTGATTTAATATTCCTTGTGTTGATCACTTCGATCTTTTTGTTTGACAATTCAGCTACAGGTTCCTTGCAGTGACTTCTATCAGAATCTAGACTCAACTCTTCCAGTGTATCTGATAAATACTGAAATAATACAAAATTAATTAATTCTCAATATATAACACTTTTTTCTCACCTTTGTTCTATTTATTACTTCTTGTTTTTCCTCCTTTTCTTGCACATTTTCGTATCTGTTACTATCTACTGATTTTTCCACATCGTCTAACTTCTGTTTTCGAACAGGAGATGCTAAAAACTGTCTGGGAATCCTTTTAGCTATGTCATCAGTTTTGCAAAAGTTAGACTTCCAGATCAAGACTTGTCGATCTGCACCACCGGAAGCAAAGAAATCACCATCTTGTGTGAACGACACTGATGTTATACTGCCTATATGTCCTTTGAGAGTATAAATAGGTCGGCCTTCTAGCAAATCTAAAACCTAGCAAAGATATTTTTGTTAATACTCAAACAAGACATGTGCAGATAGATGCAATGAGATATCAAGATATTAGTTTTAATTATAAAAAGTTACAAAAAGTTGTACCTTCATTGTGGAATCATCAGAAGCTGTTAACATAAAGTTTCCTTTTGGATGAAACTTGATCATGTTGACAGGCTCCTTATGAGCAGCATAATGCTGATACAAAGAACCTGCTCTCAAGTCATACAACTTGATACATGCAGCCACATTTGCTGATCCAATAGCTGCACCACTTGGATGGAAGTCCACGTATGTAGCAGGTCCTGATGAAGCAGAATTTTACTTGCAAACAATCTTAACATTGTATGCTTTAAGTACGCTTGAAACAAACCTTTCAGTTCATTAAAGGTCTTAATGCATTGTCCACTGATAATATCCCATACTTTTATTGTCTTATCATCACTACAGGATACCAAGAGTCGGCCGTTTGGAGAAAATTTTGCGCATCGTACCCAATTTGTGTGTCCAGTAAATGACGTGAGAAATCTTCTCTGACACACCATCCACAGCTTTATATTTTTGTCATCCGACGCAGTAACCAACTGAACACAATATAAGAAATTACGAATATTATTCAGAAAATGAATAAACTACTTCTACAGTGACAAATATACATGTGAATAATAATTAAAGAACATTACCTTTTCTCCATCAGGACTAAACTGTACCGATCTCACAGCAAAACTGTGAGCTCTAAAGTCCAGTGATTGTCCCGTGACTTTGGGAACCCAAATTCTCACCGATCTGTCTTTCGAGGCACTGGCTACGACCTCTCCGGACGGTGCGTAACACACATCCAAAATACCGTCTTTGTGAGCTAGAAATCTATAAGCTCGCGTCGACTCCTTCAAGTTCCATACCAATAGTGTTTTGTCCAGACTGCTTGACACCAGTTGAGCGCCATTGGGATGAAAGCACAAAGCCGTGATTTTATCCTTGTGTCCTTTAAAGTGCCTTTCGAATGTGGGATCATAGGCGGTCTCTATCATTTCTTCTGATTATTGTCGTAATATCTTTTTCACCGATAATCTCGCCAATGTTTTTTAATTACGGATTTGTCCGTAAAGAGATTCGCGCATAAAAGGAATACTTTCCCAGTGCCGATATTTTTTAAGAATAAATAAAAGATCTTTGTGTTTACACGTCAAAAACCTCGATATTTTTGACGGTTAAAATTTCACAAGAAAAAAAGACAAACTGATCGATTACCTGTCGCTACTTGCCGCGCGTAACATGTGACAGCAGATATATCTTTGATTATATTTATACTCGCGATAATTGGATCAAGGTCACACTTCAATCCTGAGCAAACGCGCGAAGTTCCAGGTTGCAAATTACAAATTTTACAACACTAGTGTTTTAATTCAATTGTACATTGTTCGTATTTTGCGCGGTAAAACAGTGTTGTTTCGCAACGCATGTGCGCAAAATGCACAGCGACATCTAGAATAGCAGGTATACAGCGCGTCACAAATTCGCAGTGCAGGCACAGGGGATTAAACTAAACAAGAAGAGCGGTTTCTCCTCTATTGTCTTTTCAAAGAAAGGTCCGCGGATCGACGCAAATTCGTCCGTTCTGCGGATCGTCCCTCCGACGGGACGCGAAAAAAACCCCCACTCCTCAGCGTACTGTTCGTGCAGATCGTTAAAGACCGGAGCGCATACTTTTTCATAATGCATAACGCGTTAAACATAAGAGAATCAACCAATCAAAGCTTTCTAGAACAAGAAGTAGGGATGAAAACGATCATATGCGTTATGCGTTATGCAAAAGTCTGTGCTTCGGCCTTCACCGCACATAGCACGGAATAGAACAAGTTCCACGGTTGGACATTGCACACGACAAGTCGCTCGTGGACGTCGCTACATAGTTCCAATGTGCATCACCCATGGACATAACGCTAGCTTAAGAATCGGAAAAGCTATTACAGTTTTTCATATGGCTCTGACCGCTCTCAGTCTCTCTGTTCGCAGAAAATTCAAAAAAAAGAACGACACGCGATTTGCGTGTAATTCAATCAGATCTCAGAGACGATTGAAGTCTAAAAATTATAAATTTTGAAAATGGATCAAGCGTGTGTATATATGTGTATTTTATTTAATATCTCTATAAATTATTGTTCTATGGCCGAGTGTTGTCGCGGCCGACCGAGAGCTGCGCTCGTCTCGCGCCCAATTCATCTACTTGTTGCATGCTTCTTGCGCGCGCATTCTAGCATTTTTGCGGGGCTCGTCGAAAAAGCCACGAGGCATCATCGAACGTACGTACGTACGCAGGCACGCACCCACGAGGGACGAAAAATGGCGAACTACCACAAGCCGGAATCGAAGACAATTCAGGAGTTGCGGGATATCGCGATCAAGTTGAGAATTCACTCGATCGAGGCCACGCAAGCCAGTAAATCCGGGTAAGCGGATGGTTTTTTTCCTCTCTCGCCGTCTATTAACGGCGGTGATAACGAGCGCGGTTACCCAACGACTGCCACCGGCAAGTGAGACCACTATGTCGCTCTCGGACAATGATGATAAGCAAGAAACGTGTCACGCGATTATGCGATAATTGTGTAATCGCGCAAGTTCGGAAATTCGCGCGGAACACTATCGATTGACGTGACCGTCGCGCTTCAACGAGATATCACGGTTTTTTTTTTTTTCTTTTCAGCCGCGTCATATTATGACACTTCCAGCTTTCGTCATTTTTATTTGTTTTTTTTTTCTTGGAGAAGGAAAGAGAACGTGTATAAGGAACTAAAAAAACGTCTACTGTGCGGTAACGTTCGATTATGCACTTTGCGTGCTATCGATAAGTTAGAGATTTATGCTATTTTGTAGAGAGAGAAACTTTGTATCTTTATTTTTCACTTTATTTCTGCACATATATTTATGACCTCACGTCGTAATTCTTGATAAGTGTATCACGCCAGTTACGTGTAACGTGCTGAATCTAATTTATTACCGCGGGTCAAAATGCAATAACGCGAAAACTGTTCAAAATGCAAATTCAGCAGTTTCACTCGAATGTTCGAGTGCTTTTGTTATTTATTTCTGAAGTATAGTTTATTATACATTTGTATATATTCTGCCAAGACAAATTAAAATTCATTGGTAAGATTTTCTGATTTTGTTTTAACGTGCCGTTGCAGGATCGTTGCGACGATCTACTTCAGGAAACTGCTAGCTCATTAATTAACTATCTACTCGTCTTTCGACACGGGAACCGAGACTGTTAGCAAATTTCTCACGTGCTGTAACTCGCGATCTTACAATTAGTTATCTTCGAAGTTTTATCGAACCAATTTTATTTACTAATTTCTTTACTTTATTAATGACGTAACGATGTTTTCTTGTGAAACGAAGACAATTCAAGTATACAAAGTAACTTCAGTGCTTACAATTAACATTCTAATTACAAACTCTTAGTAATGTACAAATATTTAACACACGATCGATCTTCGATTATGCAACAACAGCAAAGATAAATTATGCGTATATATATATGTGTATCTTGTGCAAAAACGAACTGACTGGAGTAATATTGTCTCTCGTCAATTAAGAGTCCATTAACGAAGATTTTTCATTTTGTTTCACCGCACAAAATAGACAATATAAGTGAAGTTAGCGGTGTTTGCATTATCGCAGAGGTCACGCGACGCAAAGGAAATATGATAATAGCAATGCACTAAGTTTCTTAGCGAATACTTTCTGTACAATCTTAGCGCAACGCGAATATACGAGCGATCAAATTTTCATAAACGTCATTACGCATGAAATTTGGAGAATAAAGATTATAAATATATGTACATATAAGTCTTTTCTTTTCCTTAAAAAAAAAAATAGGAAAAAAACCGTTACATAAGACGCGCGTGTTTCTTGAATATATTTGAAATGCTGATGCGTGATGTTTAGTGAAAAAGTCTGTATAGAAGTTGCATATGACGCAAGCATTTATAGATATTCCTTTGTGAATAAATGTTCAAAGTACAATCGTCATTTATCCAAAATTATTGAACTTTCGAAACAGTGAAGTCAATATGAAAAAAAAAAGTTGTTTAAAATATGTATTCTATTCCATTTGATATTATATGTTGTATCTCGAGTCACCCTATATATGTACACGTTGTCGTCGTGACGATGAATGAACGAGGTAGGGAGCATACTCGGGCGCAGTTGGTTCATTTGTCGAAATTCTCGTGCCGCGGCAGTCGCGATCGAACGCTCGTTTTGTTGACTACGGTTTCAGACTCGGCTAATTCAAATCAAAATAGTACGAGACAAGAACATGGAAAAGCTCCAAGATATGGCCAATAGGCTACGCATTGATTCCGTGCGTTCGACTGAAGCATCAAAAAGCGGGTATAACGACAATATTAAATCCTCTTTAATCATCACACATTGACTTCGTGTCCTCGCAAACATCAGACTTCCCGGATATTGTCTCTAATATTTAAACATTAAGTCAAGTTGTAACAAAGTGCTACTTTTCAAGATTATTATTCAATTGATACTTAATATAGCAGATTATAAAAAAAATTTGGATCATTGTAGCAAATTGTAAAACTTATATGAAACAGATTATTAATTAATGGATATTTCATGAAACAAACGTGTATTCAGTTTACACGTATAGAAAAACTTGTTATCAGTATTTTCTGGATAACAAATGTATCTAAAGTTATATAAGTAAACTGTGCATTTATAAAGAGAATAATATTTAAATAAAATTACAGAATAGAGTGGGGACATATATAGTAGATAAAGTAGATCTCACGGAACATATTTTGTAATAAACGTTTATCATTCATTATCGTATCGTAACACTGTTTTCGTGACCTCGAAAGTGGTATTCGAAAATATATTCCAATACTTTCTATTTGACCTCGTAATGATAGAAGATTATTCTTAATGCGGATATCTCATTCGATTACGTGAACGCGAAGTTACTGATATGAAGCAATTTCCGAGAACAAAATAACATGTTGTTCGAATTTAAATTATCATATTAAAATATTTTTTATTAGTCAATAGAAATAAACATATTAAATTATTTTCTTATTTCTATGTATTTATATTGTTTTTCTAGACATCCAACATCATGTTCGTCAATGGCAGAAATTATGTCCGTTCTCTTTTTCCATACAATGCGTTACAAAGTATCGTCACCACGTGATCCGTCATCCGATAGATTCGTTCTCAGTAAAGGCCACGCGGCTCCGATTCTTTATGCAGGTAGACTTTTGCAATGCTACAATACATTAATAATTATTATATTGCGTATCAATAATATTACATATAAATCTCGATATTATATTAATTACATAATTTCATATATATTAACAAAAAATTAATATTCAATCGGGATACTATCGTAAATGATATTATCTATTTATGATATATCATATTTTATTGAATATATGTAGTGATAAAAAAAACAATAAATATTTATCTTTATCAATACATTTTAATTATTCTTCATTGTTGTAGCTTGGGCGGAAGCTGGTTTGTTCCCGACCAGCGAATTATTAAACTTGAGAAAATTTGATAGCGATCTCGAAGGACATCCTACGCCAAGACTTAATTTTATAGACGTAGGAACTGGCTCATTAGGACAAGGTCTTTCAGTTGCTGCAGGCATGGCCTACGTCGGAAAGAATTACGACAAGTCCAGTTATCGGTACGATGTTTAGATAAACATCCGACTAATAATACAGTTTCCATTTATAACAATACAATCTATTGTATAGTGTGTACTGTTTGATTGGTGACGGAGAAGCAGCAGAAGGTTCCATTTGGGAAGCTCTCCATTTTTCGTCCTACTACAAGTTGGACAATCTTTGTGCCATTTTTGACATTAATCGTCTAGGACAGAGCGATCCTACCTCGCTGCAGCACAACATGGAAGTTTATCGCAAAAGACTAGAGGCCTTTGGCTTCAATGCTTTAGTTGTAGATGGTCATGATGTTGAAGAATTAGCAAAAGTAAGTTCGACGATTGTATCAATCGTATGTGTATGTGTTACTTTAGATAAAACTTGTGTATTGTTAAGATTTGTTTTGGATTTTAGGCTTTTCACGAAGCACAAAATACAAAAGAACGTCCTACTGCCATCTTAGCTAAGACTTTCAAGGGTAAAAATTTCCCTCAAATTGAAGATCTGGAAAACTGGCACGGTAAACCTCTGGGGAACAAGGCGAATGAAGTTATTCAGGTATGTTAACATTATATATTAATAACATTATATATTAATACTATTATATGTGTTAACATATTATATATTAATGCAGTATAATAGCATTCATAAATAGTAATAATTATCACTGATATTCTTGATTCGAGTATCTCATATTTTTTCTAATTTTCTAATTTTGCAGCATTTGACTGGACTTATGAAAAATTCTGGTCCTCTCGGGCTACATCCGCAGAAACCACTTGTAGATGATGCTCCAGTCGTAGATATTAGCAACGTTAAGCTAGCTTCACCTCCGAACTACAAAATAGGCGAACAAGTAGCTACCAGATTGGCTTACGGAACTGCTCTTGCGAAAGTTTGTACATTAACGTGTACCAATTACAATATTTGTAATATGTAACCTTTGTAAAATGTAATCTTTGTTTCGTTTTATTCCAGCTGGCGAAGAACAATCCTCGAGTTATAGCTCTGGATGGTGACACGAAGAATTCCACTTACGCCGAAAAGATAAAAACGATCGATCCGTCTAGATTCATTGAAGGATTTATTGCCGAACAAAATGTTGTGGGTGTCGCAATTGGTGCTGCTTGCAGAGATCGTACTATCGCGTTTGTATCCGCTTTTGCGACGTTCTTCACACGTGCTTTCGATCAGGTAGGACGTAAATCGGATTTGTAAAAATGAACAACTAGTATTTACAAAAGGATAGGCAAATGCATTACTGGTTGTTATTACAGATTCGCATGGGTGCGATATCCCAGACAAATGTAAACTTCGTCGGCTCGCATTGTGGCGTGTCCATCGGTGAGGATGGGCCATCGCAGATGGGTTTGGAGGATATCGCGATGTTCCGCACGATTCCTGGTTCTACCGTATTTTACCCGAGTGACGCTGTATCGACGGAGCGCGCTATAGAGCTAGCAGCCAACACCAAAGGCATCTGTTTTGTTCGTACTTCTCGTCCGGCCACGGCAGTTTTGTATAAAAATGACGAGCCGCTGGCGGTTGGTAAAGCCAAAGTGGTCAAATCGTCCCCGAAAGATCAGGTGCTCGTGATCGGCGCCGGTGTAACATTACACGAAGCGATCAAAGCGGCCGATGAATTAGCCAAGACCGGAGTCAACATTCGTGTGCTCGATCCATTCACGATCAAACCGATCGACGTGCAAACGATTTTAAAGAACGCCAAAGAGGTTGGCGGCAGAATTATTACTGTTGAGGATCATTATCCGCAGGGAGGTTTAGGCGAAGCGGTCCAATCTGCGGTCGCCATGGAGAGAAACGTAATAGTGAAGAAATTGGCGGTTTCGAGCGTGCCACGTTCCGGTCCGCCCGCAGTACTGCTTGACAATTTTGGTATTAACGCTCGTAGCATTGTCGGAGCTGTACAGGAAATCTTGAAAGATTAGTGTTTCACGATCGCGGGTTAGATCGACGGGAGGCTGTTAATGTACAAATAAAATTTTATTTTTCCAAAGCACAAAAAATCTCGATGGAGTATACGTTGTGAAACATTCCATCTTTTTTAAAACGTTTGCTGTGAGCTGTATAATAACAATTGAAACCGATATAATTTTAGTGAAGTTCAATTTCCTACGTTATACGTCATACGTAAAAAAGTGATACGTGGGAATTTGAACCTGAACAAACTAACTGGTTTCTATATTCTATTTCATTGAATGTACAAACCTAATCGTGAACAAAATTATTGATGAACATATATGGTTGAATAAGAAAAACATATCTTTGTATACACGTGTACTTTATACATATAGAAGTATATATACTTTTGCAAATATTTGTACAACTTTTACAAAGCAAGAAGTTTATTCCTCAAGGAATTACACGAATATCTAGAAGGTCAAACTAGATGGGAAGTTTAAGAACATTCGATATATTTGTCGTTTTTATATATTACAAATGTGTTTATACAATGTGTTTTTGTTGCAAGAGATATAAGAAAAATATTGAAATGTTTTTGGGACTACTTTTATATATGAAACCAACTGGAAAAATAAAAGTATCTTTGAGATACTCCAAGTGTCTTTTAATATAAAATAATTTGTTCTTTTTAATTTTGCGCTTTAATTTTGTGTGTAATACGAAGTTTTGTGAGTTTTGCATGCATTTTTCGCACATTTTTACATGCGTTATAAAAATTATATCGTATCGAAAATAAAGAAACAGTGATTTGCATATTTATTTCGAACTAATTAAAAAATGTGTTTCTCTGCAGAAGTTTGTGTCTTTTTGTAAGATTTAAAAGTTTTTTTCGTCTAAAAATTCTTTCGGAATGCAAATTAACTTATTATTTTTAAATGCGCGATACAAAAATATATGCCGGTATCGCTTTACTAAAGTATGCGAAAGAAAAATCGTTGGCGAAAGTGCAAGGTGTGAAGAAAGCGAACGTTATTACGCTATGAATTCCTGTTGTAGGCATTTATCACACTTAGGATCCGCAAGTCGGCCAGAAGAACGTTGACAGCCAGCCTCATCCACGTGATATTACGAGGTATTAGACAACGTACAAGGTGCAGAAACGCTGCGAGCGAAAATGTATAACATGTTTTGTACGCGAGATTACGACGCGCTTCTTCGTGGTAACTACCCGGTTTACCGCGTAATTTTCATATATATAATCACTGTTTGTAACTCACATATTGCAATAATTTAGATCTTAAATAGTGTTAGAACATAACAAAAAAAACTGATCTCGCATTTTTGACATTTTCGTGACAAATCCTGCGCAATTACTTACGTCTCAATTAAAAAAAAAATAAAAAAAAAACGTGCGTAATAACTGCACAACAAGTTCTTCGTCACGTAATCGGCTAACGAGTCTCGTATCTGCGCACAAGTCGAACAAGATGTTGCTAGGAAAGTGTTGCCACCTGATGTCGGAAATGAGAAATTGTCACGCCGCTGCATGTTGAGAAACAGGGATATTTAGTTTTCTTATTTATAGACATTTTAGTATTTCCGTTTATACATCAAAAAGAAATATTATTGTTTTTATATTACGCTTTTAGTTCGAGTCTCGGTTATTGATTGAACATGTAAAGGACTTCAGATGTTGTGAGATATAAAAAAGGTACAAGGTTCTCTCGAATTTTCGGCTTCGCATAAATAAAATCAGTCACGATCTTATGCTAATCACCACAAAACTTTGCGTGAGACATTTGATACCAGTTCCGTGTTAAATTGTTATCTTTGCACAAATTATAACCAGCAATTATTCATTCGGCAGATCTAGTTAGAATAACAAGATGTAATAAAAAAAAATCCGTAGATTTTTTTACTTTCAGTAGTTGTGTATAATTACCATTATATTTTAATTATCTCGTACGCACACAAATTATAATTCATACATGCGTACGTACATAATGTATCATACTTTTTTGTAAAAACATTTGAATTCCCCCGAGAGAGTTATATTAATGAAAAAGCACAAAACACTTAAAAACAACAGTTAATATTCATAGATTCGATTGTCGGTTTATTATTCGTTATTCATGCAATACGTTCTAAATATAACTCGATAGAGCGACGATATGTTCGGTGTAATATAACAGCGCATATAAATCCGCACTGCACACCGTTGCTACGTTAATTAACTCGCTTTACAACACCGCCGATTAAAAATCATAAACTGACGAACGGCGGAAAATTCATTCAGAGGGGAAGTGGTCGCGTGTTCAGGGCGCCGACGCAGGTCGACGCGTCGCGGCGTCGCTTCGGAGACGCCGATCGTCGCCAGTGCACGTTCGTCTTGAACGCGGAACGTTTCGCGCTTTCATTTCATTCGTCGCAGGTCTTCGTTGCCGTGTGATTCGCCGGACGATACCGTGTGCGTGATGTCTGTACGACGTCCGTGACGAGAGAGAAAAAGCAAAAAACAAAAAAAAAAAAAAAAAAAAACTAAACACCGTGGCAATTTATGCAAACCGTTGAAGCGAAAGCTTCCGCAAGTCAATCGAATCCTCCTCGATGTCAACGATAGTCTCGATCCTTTCTCATTTTTTCTCGACGCCGCATATGTGCATAACTTCACGCCCCGATCGTTTTACTCATGTGCTAGGCTTTAGGTGTGTTGTCGCGCGCGTTTCTGCGAATATAAAAGCTCGTATTATAACGACTTGAGCCGGCGATATGCTGGTTGTACAAGCGTTCGTTCTGTAACACGACTCTGTAACAGGTGATGTCATCTCCACACACAAGTACGATCTGCTCTCGTTTGCGCTTCTCGTTCGTGTCACAGATCTAACGTGGATTCTTTTTTTATGCGCGCACGAATGAAGACATTTTTTCATGATATTTGATATGCGGCTCTCGACTCTGAAAAGAGTCTAAAGAAAGTTTCGAGTTCACTTTGAAATGCAAATTTTAACGTGTAAACTTAACAAATTGCGTACGGACGGTTGTGAGTTTAGGATCGCATTTTAAGTTGAAAGTAAATTAAATCGCACTTTTGACACGGCAAATGTCTCGAGACGCGCATAGAGCGCCCGTGTCGTCGCGTTTTACACGGCAATGCGGACTTTCGGCGCATCCCCCGAGCCAGGATGCACGTAGCCGTGTAATTTGAGCACGCCGCAAGTTCAGCTGGTGCTCGACAACTTTTTGACGCATCCCACTTCACGCTTTCACAGCCTGCGGACGTAGGAAAAAATATCCTTTATCCTCTTGTCGCGTTTTACACGGCAATGCGGACTTTCGGCGCATCCCCCGAGCCAGGATGCACGTAGCCGTGTAATTTGAGCACGCCGCAAGTTCAGCTGGTGCTCGACAACTTTTTGACGCATCCCACTTCACGCTTTCACGGCCTGCGGACGTAGGAAAAAATATCCTCTATCCTCTTGTCCCGGCTTGGATACTTCATTATACGCTATTATAGCGTGCTGCATGTCTCCGAATCAGCTATTCTCTGTTCGGAAGTTTATAGAGATCGTCCCGGTGCTTTTCGCCCTTTACCTCGTTAATGTATCATCAAACGAGCTTGATCGTATTTCCTCATACAGGCAAAAGTGCGAGATAAAACAGTCTCTACTTTAATTAAAAAAAATAAAAAAAAAAAAGAGAGAGACGCGCGCGCGCAAACTATCATTTGATGAATTTTTTAATTTATTTCGTCTTCGTTCATTTCACGCTTTTAAAGCGCGTTTAATTAACCTACATTCGAATGTCTTTTTCATGTACTGTTTGCTGTGTTTCAAAACAGTTTTGAAATAATACACCGCCCAACGTACTTGCCTTCCAAACACAATACGCACAGTTTACAATTAATTTTTATTCATTGTCCGACAACTATAGACACCATTAAGCAATTCGCAGCGAAATTGCGAATCGCTCAGACCGACATTGTTGCTTCATTATTTTATCTTTTATTTACAGTTAATTCTCTGCTAGCAACCCAAATTCGCCATTAGCTCGCGGAATATTTTCGGCTAGATACCAGGCTGCGTGCGGTTATTATTTCCACCTGGACGTTGCTTCGTTGAAATGAGTGTATACGCGAGCGGTAAAATGTAAATTGCTGCATTTTTCTTCCGATCTTCGTTGCGCCTCGTTACCGCGTCTTGAGGTGAACATTTTCTTATCGCGTAAAAAGAAAAAATCCGACCGATATATATTTGTGTGACAAATTGAAGAATCGCACGAAAATCAGGATGAACGCGATGGACATCTTCGTGTTCGATTCGTAATTACGTTGGTGCTACGACAGAGAGAGAGAGAGAGAGAGAGAGGAAAGGACAGGGAAATTGACGACGACGGAGCGAGCGAGATCGAGAGGGACGAAAGAGCAAAATGAGGGCCCCGTTGCTTCTCTTGGGCGGCATCATTGTACTGTCGCTCGCGGTGGCGAGGGCTCTCTCATGTGTGTGCTCGCCGATGGAGTGCGACGTCCTCACCGACGAGGATTGCCCCGGAGGCCTCACCTGGGATCCCTGCAGGTAGGCAACCGTTTTAGCCTTTACCACCCATAGAGATTCCGAACAACTCGATCTACCGTTTCTCGTGAATATGGTCATTTATGTGTGCGCGCGCGCGCGCGCTTCCTGCATCTCTTGTGCTCAAAGGACTTCATTCCCGGAATGTTATCGGAGGTTTATTATCAATATACTCGGCTTTCTATCGGGCGGGATTTTGCACAGAGCAGTTAAGATATTTCACAATATACGCGAAAAGTTGCGCTTGTGGAAGATACGGGGAGGTATTTCAATAACAAGCTTTGATAACCGAGGAGGAAAAAAACGTAGGATTCCGTTGCATAATTCGGATCATACACGGTATTTGCATAATAATTGTTGCTACGTTTTCTTTGCCGCCGAGGATGTGTCTTTTCTATATTTTGCGCGAAAGCGTAATTTTCAATTTGCCCGACTAAAGTCTGACCGCTTCTTTGTGCGTGTGTCCCGTTGCGTTTTACTAGCGTGTTGTAATTAGTTCCGCGAGTATAGTGAGCAATTAAAACACACGGCTACAATAAGGTCCTTCCTCCCTCGCCCGCGTTCTTTTTTCTCTGCAGACGGCAAAAAACAGTTGCCCTTTGTTGTTCATTCACGTTTATGCCTCTCCTATGCGCGTATTACGTTTTCACGCGCTAGCGAAACATTTGCGGGAAAAGAATGAATACATCCGCGAGTGAACGAGATGAGCGGACCGCCGAGCAAACCTCCACGCGGTCGAATGTACTAAAGGCGGCGCGAATTGTTCTGTTACACGATAACGTTTTATCATCGAGGTGTTCGATTATCCTATGTGTGGCCGACATGCTGCGAGATCCCCGTACCCTTGGGTCTATTTTTGCCGATCCGCAACGAGCATTATTACGTCAGTTGATGTTACACATTCCGTACAAATGCGAATTGCTGAGTCAGTGTAACACCTGAGTTTTAAGCGCCGCCGTGTTTTATCGCTCGCACGAACAACTCGATACAAAACAGGTCAATCGCGCTTAAATATAAATATAGGTCGTTAAGAACAACAATATTTTACTCGCAATAGAAAGACGTAACATTTTGTGTGTGTATTCGATATATATATCTCATATATATATATATACTAATCGTGCAATGCAAGTTACTTTTACAACTTATATCAATTTTTTCACACATTTTTCCTGTATGTAATATATATATATATATAATAATATAATAATATATAATATATATATAATAGATCGTAAAACTAGCTTGCATTGCACGATCATTTATTTGTGCTAATTTTAGCTTATCGTTACTCTCAACATATTTTGTCGTGGAAGTTTTATATTCGTAAATTATTCACCTGCTTCGTTATTAAATAAAGGTGTAAAATATATAACATAATCACGCGTTAATGTTGCTAAGTACACCCTTGTAAGTCCCTTTAACGGAAGAACGAACTTACAGGTGTATCTCCTTTAACAAATATTTGCGAGGAAAGTTTCAAGATAAATTCTACTTCGTACGTATGAAATACACGATCGATAGCGTCGCTATGCAAGTCTGCGATAACAATACATCGCAAAATCAGATTGATGTCGATAAATGGCTTAGCGAAAGCGTGTACTTATGTGAATCAAAATAGAAAATTGCCATTGTGTGTGTGTGCGCGCACGCTACTGTGCAAGACTGACTTATTTGTTACGTAAAATGACAGAAGAAGGCGAGAAAAGAGTGTATAAATGTTGCAGATTTTTCTCTCATAATAAATGTCTTTTGCGTATACGTGTCACGTTTGTAGATCAATTCCTTTAAACATTGAAGTTATTGAAGCGTAAAAACAAGTACTAAAGAGCTGTATCATAAAATCGATAATATCTCGTTCCAAGATATCTATGGAGGTCAATCTTGATTAGATATCTCCGATACAGACACAAGGTTTCGATGATTCACGGCTTTACGGACACTTTGATCGGTTTACAATACAGTATCTATTACACAATACGCAATTAGAGAGGTCTTTCATCTTTTCTACATTTACAAGTACTGGAGTATATAGATAGATGAAACAACTCTTTAAAAATCGCGGCTCTTCTCGCCGCCACTCGAGAAATGTGCGCGGGGGTAAGGTTGCGCGAAATTTTTCCTTTTTCTTTTTTCTTTCTTTCTCTCTCTCTCTCTCTCTTCTGCTCCTTTACGATCAGAAAAGTTACTCGTAAGATGAACAATTTCAACGTAATTGCTTTTCAAGTGCGAGACAAAGATTGATGCTCGCGCGAGAATCGAATAAGAATCGCGTCCGACTGAGAATTGTGAATTGAGATCAAGCTGTGAATTATGCGTTAGATTAAATTCTTGAATGAGAACGTGGATGGGAAAGTTTCGGGCAAAACATAGGTAGATATTTATACCGTAAGTGTAAGCTATATATGAAAGAGCTAGTGATCTTAAAGATAACTTATTTTCGCGTCATTGAAAATCACAAAAGCGAATTCTTTATACGAAATTTATACGAGAGACTTCGGAAAAATCTTTATATACCATCGAAAAGCTTATCCGCCAAAAGCGTTCCGGTTTTCCTATATTATTTTGCCTCGCTTATATTTCTCCGGTATTTCAGGATACACACAGTCGCGATAATACAGTCGCGCACGAGCGTATCGATACAATATGCTGATTCTCGAAAATGTCGAAATTGAATTTCAAAGGAAGAGACGCGCGGAAATGGAGAAAGAATTCTCCGAAGTGGCCTCGGACAGTTATAGCATCTTTCCCGAAGGACCTTTGCGAATTCAATAGGTGTACCTAACGTTTATTGCGCTGTGGAATTTCCGGTAGCGAAGTTCTTACGGGAGTCTCGGCGATTCAGAGGAGACCTGGTGGATTGGTGTGGCAACGGCATCGACCATCGAAAACCGTTTGATGACGATACTGAAAGATAGTCGGAGTAGTTTCGACGAAGTAGTTTAAGAAACAAAGAGAGAGAGAATGAGAGAAAGAGAGAGAGAGAGAGAGAGAGAAAAGAGACAAGAGAAAAGTTCCATGCGTTCACAATTCTCTCAGTGGGATTATTAACACTATATGCAAATTTATCGAGCGTATCATATCAATACCATCGTATTTATGAGATGCCGATAAATTGTTGCGGTCGTTAGAGACGCCGGTATCAGACACGTTACTTTTTTTTTCGATCCATTACTGTTTTTATCCGTTCTTTCTTGCCGCATTATTTCATTCACATATACATGTATGCGCGATAACCGCGATACAAGAGAGATGTACCGTTCAATTTCGCGGCTACTATACGCGCGGTGCTGTGTGTCGTTCGTGCGTATTTCAATGACATTTCTCCCATTCTTTGTTGAATTCTCAGTGCAAACACCCGGTTTCAAGCTGTTTGGAATCCGGATGTCATACCAATGTCTCAATTACGGTTTCAATCATGATTTCAACGCACGATCTGGAAATCTCATTAAACGCAATCCTGTTGTTTCGGAAAAAGATTGCGTTGTTACGATATCAGTGAAATAAAAAATGGATAAATCTTGAGAACGCGCGCGCGCGCGTGACGATGGTTTTAATAATTTCAAAGGAAATAATATTTTACACAATATGTGTTCTCGAATGAGATAAATCATAACAGTAATAAGATACACACATTTCATTGTTTTATTTCGTATCATCGCTTTGATTATATCTTTTGTTCTGCGAGATATGTTCTTTTGCGTCATAGAAGAATATGCAAGAAAAGTCCATAGCAATAGATTGTTTCGCGGAAAAGCGATGGCGAACGTGAAGGAGAAGACTCGACTCGCGTTGCTGTCGAGACGACGACGTAATAAAATTCCTGGTTGCAGTTGACAATTTTCCGCGAGATTATTTTCCGTGCGGTGCATACCGCAGGCTGTGCCTTGAAATTCCTTTCGTTCTTTTTTTCTTCTTTTTTTCCACCAGAACTTAGCGGTAAGACTATGCTCCGTGCTGCTGAGCATGCTGCGCGCGCGAAAGTGATATGCACTTGCATAATATGTGGAAGCTTCTCATTTTCTTCACATCTCGATTCAAGTCAAGTTTTCTTCGGGATAAAAATGCAAATATCACACTGCACTTGCGCCAAGATTTATACATCGGGATTATACAAATCTTACAGTGATATTTCAGAACAAAAAGAAAAGAAAAGAAAGAAAGAGTACGATGCCGGCTTTGTGAAATAAATATATCATGTAAAAAGAGCTGAAGTTTGCGGACTGAAATTATTTTGAAATCTCCATTTCAGCGTAAGACTCAGCGGTTTTTGCAAACTCAGTTTTATTTTTATTTTTTTTTTGTTTTTCACATAAATGTGAAGGTGACTTTTCTCAAAACCGTACCGAGCGAGCAATATGTTTATATCTCAATAATTTGCATAATAAAAATGCGTTCAACATTACACATGTAAGACACGTCAAAGTTTTCTCAGCTGCACAGCCGCTTTTGAAACGATGAGACGCGAACAACATCGCACTTTTTTGTTTTGCACGAGTGTAAGGAAGATATAAAGCCCTTAGAAGAAGCGCTTTGTATCTTTAAAACATTTGTATCCTCTTGTCGCCCGCAGGGTTTCTCACAAAGAAACAAATAGTCGTATTCGGATCGAAATAAACTGGGTGACTGCGGTGCACACGTGTAGCCCCATTTCATTTCGTCTATATCTCATATGTTGGCAACAAAATTTTCCGCTGTTCCGTTTTCCGCTGATAAAAAAAAAAGACAAAAAAAAAAACAACAGATTGATCCTCTCGTTGAGTCTGGTACATATTCAACTCTCAAACATGACAGAGCTGAATATATTTTCAGCGCACGTTACTGACGAGCAGCGGTAACAACAAGAGCTAATAATACTACTCGTTTATATTGCGTAGAAACCAATTTTCCTCCTTTGTGACGTTAGAATGTACGAAACATTTTTGTGCACATACGCGACAAATCCATTGCATTGCATTTTTATGAACACCTTTTCTCGAGTTTAATTTTCCAATAAAATAAATTTAGACACATTTAGCCAGACACGTGTAACAAATATTGTCGGTACACGATCACGTGATGCAAACACGCGTGAGAGATACGCAGTAGTCTAATTATACTACACTTTCCACTTGAGTTATTTTATTGGCTAGAAATTGCCTGTCGTGTGTAAAGTAACTTGATTTATGTGTATCGAGCATATTCTGCATCGTTATATATACATGCATATACTTTTTTTTCTTATACATATATATAAAACCCACATATTGATCGAGTTTTATGTGTTTGCAGGTGTTGCAAAGTATGCGCGCGAGTTGAGGGCGAGCCTTGCGGCGGTCTCTTTGGTTTTTCGGGGACCTGCGCCATCGGTCTGCAATGTGTAATCAAGAATCTGCTTGTGCATCGCAGCCGCGAAATAGACGAAGGTGTCTGCACGAGTGAGTACAACGAAAGCGTTTTGATTTAAATTGAGATATTTCTGAGCGATAAGAGAGAGCCCTTATCTGTAAAACTTAAATCACAATCACACTTAGTTACGTCAAAACAAACGCAATTTCCAAGATACGATTACAATGATGGAAATGATAATAAACACCCTCGGTTTGTTACCATTCCGTTGCTTGTGGAAATTTGCGCAGCGAAATATAATATCGGTTGTAGGAAATTTGTTCCTGTTTTTTAATCTTTTTTTACATTAAATTATGTATATCCTGAAATATACTAAAAAAGTGATACTTTTGCAATTACATATTATAATATTTGTTTTACCGTAAGCCCCTAGAACGTGAATTTCGCGCGTATATTTCTCAGCGAAAATTCACGCTAAATTCACAGAAATAATCCGATGATTGTTTCGTCGAGGATACAATGTATACCGCCGTCTGCATTTAATAAGCGTAAAATCGATAATAAATCTATGTGTGAAACGTTTCTGTGTGTACACATTCGCGTCAGTATGATTATATTTGAAAACGTTATTTCCCTTTCGGTTTATACTCCGCAGAATTACGCGTTATTCGCGGGGATAATTGGATAGCTCGATGTGAGAGAAACTAATCACAAGTGACGTATGACAATTACACAGTTACTATTCCACAATTTTAATTCGCGCATTTTAATAAGATGAAAAAGTGCGCGGTTGATGTTATTATCGAATATATTGTTTGCACGTAACAAAGTGATAAAATTATATCTGCAAAAAAAAACAACAAATCTAAACTTCGTACAGTATATAAAAATTACTCTCTCTCCTTAATATTTGTGAAATTATATTATGAGATATATAATGTTTATAGAATGTTTTTCCTCTCCGTAACATCTCCACTTTATCTCTGATACGCGACAAGGTCAGGTCAAACAGATAATCGAGGCCGTTGATTATCTGGAACAATGTAATGATAAAATCGATAGTTATTATAAAGCGATAAAAAAAATTCATTTAACGTTTTGCTGACATCTCTGTCTCGTAATATCAATTTAAAACAAATTTCAGACTACGAAATTCTGTGCGGCGTTAATATTGCGCGGTGTGCAAACCACGCTTATTATTTGTATGAAACAAACAGCACAGTAGTATTCCGCACGGTATATTAAATTATGGTGCATTGTTGGCTGGATGTGTAAAGCTTACAATCAAATACACGCGTACAAATACACACGTACGTACACACCGAGGTACTTTAAATCGACGACGTCGCTTTTATCTGTACAAGTTACTCCACTTGTTCGAATAAAAAAAAAAAAAAAAAAATGGTATGGCGGTCGAGGTCATAGAGAAAAAGAACGCGCTGTAGTTCGCGTGAAACTTGGGTGGGACTCTCCAAATGGAAAAGTTAGTTTAGGTAAAGTCATGTTTGCGCGTGAACACATTACTTTTCACTTAGAAATTTTCCGCCGCGCCTCGTACATATTGACCTCATTCTCTACCTGAGATAATAGTTCATTGTTGGTATACGCATATTCATGGTACATATACAAGGTGTCCCAGAATTGCCGTACAATCTCTCGTAGGCAGGTAGAAGGAATAAAACTGAGTCGAAAAGTCCTGAACCATTTTTTTCTGTTATTTATAATAAAGGAGTAATTATTGAGTAAATCAGGCCAATCAGCGCAGATCTTTAGCCATACGCACGTCAGTGAGCGCTCACACACACGAGGCGCGCGGCTCACTGACGTGCGTCTGGCTAAAGGTCTGCGCTGAATGGCCTGATTTACTCAATAATTACTCCTTTATTATAAATAATAGAAAAAAATGGTTCAGGACTTTGTGACTCAGTTTCACTCCTTCTACCTGCCTACGAGAGATTGTACGGCAATTCTGGGACACCCTGTATAAGTGTACTCGCGTACATAGGAGACATATGTAATCTTCATAACACGATCTTCTTGCGCAAGGCGTTTGAAGAATTCTTGTAAGTGTTGTCTTACTAAATATTTTTAATTGTGCATGTTACGTGTGATTATAAAAATGACATATATATATTTTTTTTTTGTTCAATACTACGCGCTTATGAGATCTTGAGGGGTTTGCGATTACATTAATTATGTAATCAACTGCTAAAGTTTTTTATAAATGTTTTTTACTTTTGTGCAGTGGATAAGTTTTCCTTCGTGTTTACATAGCTGGAATAGATAAACCACGTGAATAGCCTTAATGCGAATCTCGCCGCGATAGTCAACTCGGAGAACATTAAGGTGTACTTCACTCCATTACAATACACGCCTCTTCACTATTCTTGCGGAGCCATGCATCTCGATTTGTGCATAGTTACCGCTGTACAAAGAATAAAGAGAAAACAGAATTTTAAGAACGAAGACACATTCACAGTTTACTTAAGAAAACTTGGCACAATCGTTTCTTTGTACACATTTGAATTGTCGATAACTTGGAAATGTCCCATGTACCTTTTGAAGAGAAATTTGTTATACACAGTATTTTTAACTTTTTTTTTTTTTAAAGAATTACACTCGAGGAGAATTTTCTGAATTCTCGCAGTTTAAAATAAACTGCTTAGACAGGACAATGTTTAACGATCCTTTTTGATTTGATTTGCGTACTATCGATAATTACTTCGAAAAAGAATACTCGCTTTCATTTTCCGACTCATTGAATAATCGACTCGCGAATCCAAGACTCTTTATTCAGTTGTACCACCTCGTCCTTTTCACTTGTTGTTTTTTTTTTTTTTTTTTGCACTGGCTCGATGTCCTTCGCCTCTTTTGAAAGTTCTTAACGCTTTGAACAGAATCGCGCCGGTGAATCTAAAAGTTAACGATCCCGAGCCGCTCGCGAATCTAATTGAGCGATTTTTGAACTTGTTATAACTCGGATTTTCCAAACTATAGTCAAACGACGATTTCAAAAGCACTGCGTTCAGGAAAGGAAGTAATTAAGAGCTTCTGAGAGCCACAAAATACTTTCATGAAAAACGTTTCGGATTCTTCAAAGAACGAAACTTTTTGCTGCAATATTTTAGTTTCTAGCAAAACCACTCACCTGTTGTAGGATATTCAAATATTGGATCTCGAATTAGGTACTTGAAAACTCCGGAACATTCTGCACAAATAAATTACGATAAGTAACTTGCAACACAAATACTTAATTATTATGTTAATAATATCAAAAATATACGTATTATATATGTATTAATAACATTAATAACATTACAATAATAATAAAAAATCAATAAAATATTTTCAATATAAGTTGAAACTAATATTGCGATTTCAAGTATATTTCTGAGTGTGCTAATACAAATTTCATCCGCTGGAAATGTGTCAAAATATATTCTCTTGTTATAATTTTATATTAGCGGATTTTATAATTTTCTATATTAAAACATGGCGCATCGTAATTCGATTTATTATTTTACACTCGTAAAATAATCGTCGACGGAGAGAGACGATACTGTATTTATAATTTTGGATTTTTGGTAAAAAGTAAAATATACAGTAATATGTACTTTAAATCTCTTATACGCCAGTCATGTTTGGTCGCGTATGTTGCGCGCAACATTCACGTCAATTTTCACCCAACTAGGACATTTTGGCGATCTCTTACTGACAGCCAGCGTATCAAAATACGAATATACATGCGGATGTGTTTGGTCTGTGTATTAGCAACGCGCGATCGCATCACTTTTGTGCGTGATGCGATCTCTCACGTCCGGCTTCGGTTTGATGCGCGTCGAACCGAAATACGACGACGTGCCTAGATTTATCGATCAGCGTCGGAAACAAGGTGTAGGATGTTTAATGGGAAATTTGACTTGGAAATTTTCCGTGGCTTTTCGATTTTCCAAATTTCGTGCCGCTGCTGTCGCGCAACCGGCCGACGTCGCGTTTTAAACGCGTTGTGTTTTTTTGCAACAAACGATGAAGCTTTTGTTTCGTGAAGGCACGGGAGTAATTCGTTTCGCAGCGTTTACACTTCAATACGGACGAGCCAGACACGCAAAAATGGATCCACTTGTTTCGAGAGCAATACACCGGACATTTATGATACTTTAACAGCAATGTATTATATTTGCATTTGCGCTGCGCAAATATATATGTATACGTATATATATTGCTGCAAATTAATTATACTTGTTGGGCAACTCGAATTTTGATGCGAGTATTGTTGCCTAACGAGCGTCACACAAAAGATACTCAAATGTGTCGTTTCAATAAATTTAAAGTGAATTATAACCCGCAAAATGCAAACAAAAATTTTCGTCAAGTTTAAATCTATTCGTAATATTGTCGTCATTATTTTGCATATATAAACGTCGTGTACTTTTTATATTCAGTTAAAACATATATATAGTTTATCTTAATAAATAATTATATACTTTTTCTCGAATTATTGATCGAATTTTACAAGTAATACGTATGTAATCTGGACAATGATAAGACTGTAATGTAGCTGATACGTGTGTGTGTATTGGGAAAGAGGTAGCGCGTAGACTATGTCACTACATACTTGGTTGCTCGCACAGAATCAGTACTATAAAATTAGTGCGCTATTCTCTCTCTCTCTCTCTCTTGTTTCAAAGCATAGGAACTCACCCTGTACAGAAAGGCAGTAAAGGGTCCGCTTGTCGCGGAACTCAAACTTCAAGAAACTGTCTTCAACTCGACATTTCCAACAAACTTCGACACTGGCGTTTTGAAACGCTCCAATAATAACTGCTCCTCGTACATTATCTTCTCATTATTATCTTAAAGCAGACGGTAATTGAGTTAACTTGATTCGATTTTCTGTGTGCCTTCTGTATCCGACCCTAATGTTTGCGTTTCCGCGATCTTGCTTCTTCTAGCTTTTCGATTTGCATTATATTATTCAGAGAACGCTCTACACTTATTAGTTTTGCGTTGTTCTGTTGAGAGACAGAAAAAAAAATGGACTCCGAAAGAGTAAAACTAGCTGTAAACTAACTGTTAATCTCATAAATGT